ATTGAGCTTTTACACCTCCCCACTTGCCCTTCTCTCCGTTCTGTCTGTGCAACAGAGAGCAATGACGTGTTGCAAGACAAGGCCCACTGTCATTCCACAGTGATGAGGTTTTTGACTGCCGAGGGATTAGCAATGTAAGCCGTGGCATATGTGACTTTGTGGAGGCAGTTTGTTTTGTTTCCTTTGTACTCAGAAGCAGTATGAGGTCAGCTGAGTTAAAGTGAAATGTGAGATGGAAGTAGAAGAAAGAAAGAAGGAAAACTACGTTGCTTTAATTCCTCACAAGCTAAAATTGGATACAGTTTTTCTAACGGTGCCAATATCTGCTGATCAAATCCCAAATATTAGCAATTTAATCCAATCTTTCTGAACACCGTGTTTCCCCCCAACATGACATAAAAGCCATTAGCAGTTTAAGCTGTTCTATTAAAAGCCACTACTGTCAATTCTAATTCAAGTGTAAGGCCCATCTTCTTCTTCTTCTTCCCTTGTACTGTTTGTCCTGTCTTCAGAGCCATCTACTCCTCCTCATAAGCCCATTATAAAGCTCTTTCTCCTATCTGGAGCCTCTCATTGGCAGCTGCAGCATAATTCTGACTCACCTATGAGCCATCAGTGTTTACTGGGATGCTAACGAGACCGAGAGACGAGAAAGTACACAGCTCCCCGGAGAAAGGGAAAGGAATAAACCGGCGATGTTCAAAACGCAAATTCAATAGCACTTGACTGGCGAAGAAAACGCAGGATAGGTTTTATTATTTTATTCAGGACTTATCTGCACTGATGTTATGATAGGGTGAAACTGTGGTTAGCGAGTCTGTTTTATAACACGGAGATGGCAGCTCTCTTCCACTTCCAGCTCGCTCACTGTTAAACATGCAGAATGAGAGCAAACCCCCACTTAATGTATTTAATAAGGGTACAGTGAAAGTAGCGATTTGCGATGAAAATGCCATGAAGAGAAAAGAATCAGACAGTGTGGACCTCATTATTTGTCACTGATGAGCAGTTTCACTGGCAGGCGTCCTTTGCTACTCTGTTTATGGGGCCAAAGCTCAAGAGACACTGCAACTGGATTTGGCACTGATTAGTGCAGCTCGCTGTCTTCTTGTATAGTTAGTGATTTGTAGCTACTGACTTGATATCCAGAAATATAGCTACAGACGGCAGCGCTACAAACTCAGTGGGTTTCACTATAATGGTTTGTTTCTCTTTGAATCAAAGAAAAATAATGTCCCTTTTTAACTGAGGTCAACAAACTTTGGTGTTTAATTATAACCTGGAAAAGAAGTAGATACATAAAGTATCCCTGAAATATTTTTTTCTGCTATGAGTCAAGTGCCCCTGACTGTAATACTGTTCTGTACAATATATACATGTGTTTGATCCTGTTAACCTAACATTGTTTACCTTATTTTCAGATCGCATGATGTCGGGAGAAAGGCATCACCCTGCATCTACACCCCAGGCCTGCACAACGCTAAGGACTATTATTTACATAGTGAAGGTCACATCTTGCAGGTCTGAATAGAATTTAATTAAGTCAGCAGGATTGACAGTTCTTGATAAAATGCACACTACTCAACTTAATTGCTTTTTGACAGCTCCGCAGAGTTTGCAGAAAGAAGAAATTGGATTAATAGACGGATAACACTCACGCTCACCTGACTGTGCCATGTGCAGACCACCCTCACAGTGCATGCCAGTCACTGTCTGCGTGCTGCATGCACACAATGGCGTACCACACGAATTGTTAGAGGGAAGTGAAAGTGCAGAAAAACAAACCTCGCGGGGTGAAATCTCCACCAGGCTTTCCCTTGTGAGATCTACTTAGGTGTTTTAAGCACCAGCATTGGCTACATCCACAAGGGAATCAGTGCTAATTAAGTTGCAAATGTAAGTAATTAACTGTACCTCGAGGCTAAAATGAGTAGTGATCAACAGAGCCTCACTGTGTACCATTTTTAAGCTCTACATGATCACGGTCAATGAGTCTGTATATCTACAACAAAAAAAAATAAATGTTAAGTTCTTAAAGGAGCATCAAGCAGCTGCTTTGAACAACACGTCCGACATATTAAAAGCGAGCATGATGAAGACTTTAAGTCAGTTTTAAATCAGTTTCATCAACATATTTAAATATGAATGTTTGTACCTGGTATTCGTTCGGCCAGAAGGTGCTGACAGCCAGCTCAACCTGATGCCACTGTTTGCCATGAGGCCCCGACGTGTTCCACACTGGACTGCCGAGCGGGCCGCCGTTGACCCGCACATATGCCCGTAGAGCCCCGGGACTGTGGCCATCACGGCTATACAGGAAGTAGCTGAACTGGACGCAGTGCGTGTCATTTTCACTCAGTGTCTGCAGCAGCAGCTGAGCACGATGACCCACGGCATGCTGGGAGGAGTTCACCAGCATATAGGACCCTGGAAAAAAAGCAGGACAGAATGCAGCAATTAATCGCTGTATTCAACATTTATGTGTTATTAAAAGTCGGGGTCATTAACTATGAAGCCAATTTTTCTGCTGCTCTGTATTGGCCGGTTTAAGCCTGAAAACAATGTAATAGTATTTTAAATCATTGCGTTCCTGTACACCAGCTGTCTTACATGCGTCAGAAACAGACATCATTTACAAGTTGCGGAAGTGAAGCGTGCATTTTAAAAAAGTTAACTAGTGTCTCGAATGCCTGAGGTGTTTATTCATTTTAAATTGGAAAATGAAGTCAACCACACAGACACTTGCACTATCTTCTACACCCGTGTTTTCCTGAGGCAGTAATAACTTTTTGGACATTCATGTATTTTTCATTCATGTATTTTACAATTTGACTGTGTTGTTTTCTTTAGAAACAGGGGGCAATATTGAAAATCATAGTTTGAATTTATTTATATATGTAATAATACATAATGGGAAAATACACAATCTACAGTACTGCACAAAACTCTTGAGAAACCCATCACTTTTTTATTGTGCTTCGAAAATGGGAATTAGGTCCAGCAATTTATTGAAACATACATTTAAACGCAGCATGTAAGGCGACTCTAATGAGCTTCAACACAGCTTGAACTGTTATTGCTTTACGTAGCTTTCAGGAATAGTACTCCAGGCTTCTTGAAGGAAAGTTGAAAATACTTCTTTGGATTTTGGCTCCTTTCGTTTTGCAGTAACATTCAGGTTCAGGCTCTAGTGAGGTCAATCCATGACTAATAGTGTTACTGTGTTTTTCTATCCAGGTTTGATTTTGAAGTATTGGCAGTGTTTTTTTGGAGTCACTGTCATGCTGAGAAATTAGGTTGTTGTAAATCAGATGCTTTACAGATACAGGTACTGCATGGAAGATCAAAATTTTGCTTCGTAATTCCATTAATTCTGATCTGAAAAGATCGCCAACACCAGTGGCTGAAATCCAGACACCGTATTTTATAGATGTTATACACGCTCATGATTGTACCCATCTCCTGACCTCCTCCATACATATTGGTGATGATTTGAACCAAAAATTCTGGATTTTGGATCCTTTACTTTGTCAGACCTCTTGCCAATGATTTTCAGTTCAGTTCTTGTGGAATCTGGCACACATCAACCTTTTCTTCCTCGTTCCCTTCCTTAAGAATGGCTTCTTGACAGTAGTTAGTAGTGGACTGGACAACCATATCCATCTGTCAGGTCCTGTGTCAGGTTTCTGCTAGATTTGTCCTGTTTGTTAAGGACAATTTGAGTTTCCTCAATTTTTTTAAGGACACACTGCACACCATGCAGAAATGTGTCAACCTTTCAGCTACTGGCTGCTTGGGAATCACTTTGTTGATGCAAGAATGTTATTTTATGCCTTTTGAACTGTGTTATATTTGGCATTTCTCAGATTCAGCTAAAGAAATTGGAACAAGTTATGTTTTTGTGACAGGGTCCAACTAGCAACTTTGAAGTGAATCAGAAACAGAATATTTTATTAATCCTTAAGGAAACTGTGTAGACACACATGCTCCAAGACAGTAAGAACAGAAACTAAATACAGGTTGCAACATATAACATAATAGCTCTAATTATTATTGTTATTATATCTGTGTGATACACAAAATTAATATACTTTGACATCAAGTTTCCACTCTTATCTTTCTTATTTTCTCTGTAGAGGAGGTAAATGGTAAATGGTCTGTATTTGTATAGCGCTTTACTTGGTCCTAAGGACCCCAAAGCACTTTACACTATACACAATCATCCACCCATTCACACACACATTCACACACTAGTGATGGCAAGCTACAGTGTAGCCACAGCCGCCCTGGGGCGCACTGACAGAGGCGAGGCTGTCGGACACTGGCGCCACCGGGCCCTCTGACCACCACCAGTAGGCAACGGGTGAAGTGTCTTGCCCACGGACACAACGACCGAGACTGTCAGAGCCGGGGCTCAAACCGGCAACCTTCCGATTACAAGACGAACACCCAACTCTTGAGCCACAATCGTGCAAATGTGCACTCTTTGCTAAGTTGCTCGTCGGCTTAACAAAAAAACAAAATGTTCCTTTGGAAATGGTACAAGGACTGGACTGAGGATGAGTGAAAACGCAGGCAATGTCCAAAGAAAAACTTTGAAACATCTTTAGAAAGCCTGGAGAACTACTGCTCAAGACCACTATAACAAAATGACAAGAAAGTCTGGCTCGCTGGAAGTAAAATATAAAGAAATGAGGTACCGTACAAGCGTATAACAGGAGGAATGTGAAAAAGAGAGTAAATTAGTTACATTAGTGCTCATACCGCGAACATGTCCATAGCACAGACTTGTTCATCTAATTTAAGTGGTTGAGCTTTGTAAATGAATCACTGAGGCATTTTTGGGAAGCAGACTCCCATGAACCAAGGCAAACATATCAGACAAGGAACAAATCTTTTTTTAACCACTTTTCGCCATGTGAATCAGAAAGAAGAAAAATGAAAGTATTATCCAGCAAGTCACTGCTATGTGTGTAGGTGGTTAACAAAAGAAAAATTAAATGTGGGCTTTTGAATGTACAGACACATTCAGTTCTGCCGATGGCAGCAGTGAATACCGGAGACAGATGAGAGGACCGAGTGAGAAAAGAAACTGAGTGAGAAAAATGAGCTCATGGCTAGTTTCCCTCTTCCCTCTTCACCAAGGTGACGCCGAGGTAAAAACGAGATTCACAAACCCCCACCGCCCCAAAGCCTCCTCTAATCAGGCTAACATAACCCCATTGCCCTTTGCCTCGCATCTGTCCTGCCTTGAGTCTGTGCCCACTAACGTGATTAGCACAACAATGTTTGGAGACCTTCCTGTGTACTCAAATAATCAAGCCTGTTGTCTTTGTACTCCAAGGTCTTTCTGTTCTCAGTCAGAAACAAGCCCGAGAGACCAGACAGTCACAGCCTTGGCGCCAGGTGTCCAGAAGACACTTATTCTCCTCTCAGATGTAATAGCATGTGAATGGTGCAGAAGCCAGACAGAGGAAAAAAATCTTAACATCCCACCGAGTTTGCACCTCTGAAATAGGAGCCTCCCTGACAATAAGCATCTGGGGCAACACACCATACTTACAGAAGTACTCTGAGTTATGAATATAGAAGTCTTTAGCTTTTTTTATCCTCATCTCTATTAAACGCCAAACAAGCACCTGATGGAGTCATCCGCTTCTTCACAAGCACAACCAGCCACTGAGAACACACTAATTACCTCTTTGAGCGCAAATAAGACAAAATGCCTAAATTTACAAGCTGATGTTCTACATAATGAGATTGAGATTCACAACCCTTAACCCCGGAGCCATAAAAAAACATTAAATCAAGGAGCTGTATGGCCGCTCATTACGTGAAAGCTATACTTGTGGCCTTTGCTGTAAAACCGCATTGCACTGCAGCGCACTGTCAACACCTCCTGATTTGTGTCCTGTCCTGCGCTTGGCATCTCGGCACTCTCATTTCGCTTTGCTTAATTAGATCTTTCAGAGTCCGTCTCCTCTCTCGCACCCTCCAGGCACACGAGGGACTCATAAAATACCAGAAAAGGGCTGAGGTGCTGAGGCCATACTGTCCTCACTGTGCCTCCTGTTTTTTATATATAGGCATTATTAACACCTTTCTGTTGACTCTGCAATAACGTCACGTGAGAACGGACAGAGAAGCCGCCCTGCTGCCCTTTAACCTGCTTGGAGACTCAAACCGAAGACGGAGTGAAGTCATAAATTTAATAAGGGTTAGCACGTGTGCGTGAAAGCAAATGATGGCGAAAAACTGAAACAGTGTGACAAATTAAATGGAGGTCCTGGACACAGTCGGTGCAGTCATCCCGATATACTGGGAGATAATCCACATTAGCTCGCTCAGTATGGGCATTATGTATATTACTTGATTTGATTTGGCAAGTTTTCGAAGCCCTGCCTCTGTGTAAGCAGGAATTTCTGCTCCTAATTAAATGGTTGTGTCTGAGGGCTGAAAAGGCTAAGCAAAAAGCATTTAACAAAAGGAAGCATAATGGGAAATTAATCAAATCTATTTCTACACAATGTGTTTCTTTTTTCTGTTATGTAATCCGTTTAGTAAAAAAGTAAATAGACATTGATTTTTTTGTGCCTTTTCTCAGACACAGACAACAAATATATCCCCTTTCTTTTAAAGGGAATTAACACTTTAAATAAGATACAAAGATATAATTTAATTCGAGCACACATAAGGCGGGAGACTGGAAGACCTCCGTGTACTTCAGAACCAATGTTGAACATTGTGAACGGAACATGAAGAAAACGAAATGTTTTCAGGCATAAACTGAAGTGGGTGACGGTGCGACAAAATGTCTTTTTGCAGCAGCACTCTCTGCACACTCCATCTGACCTTGTTTGCCAAGTCTATATTATGGAGACAGAACATCTCTGCAGGGCCCTGTGCAAGGACGGAGACGAGAAAAGGAAGGGCAACACCTATTCAATTTCCTCTCAATAACTGACACTTTGGAGAAGGCGTCGATTTTTGATTAAAAAAAAAAAAACAAGCGAAAGAAAGAAGACCTCATCGGGGTCAAAGGGCTGCCTGCGAAGTGGTCCAACTTCAGAGTGCATTGCAGTGATGGGATTGTTAATATTAACCGTTAAGGCCAGTGAATTCAAGTTTACCTTGAGATAGGGACACGGAACAACATCTTTAGAAGAAACTGCGGAGATGAAAAAATTGTTATGTCCTAGCGAGTCATCTTCGGGAAGTAAAGAAGAGGTCAGACTGAATTGTTACTGTCTTGCACACACAAAGTAATGACACCGTTCAGTCACTCGAAAAAACCCTTGGATTTATCTGAAAAGCGCTCCTCAACCAGAGTTTGTCTGCTTTTATTATAGTCATCATCTCATTGATTGAACACCTGAACTGTAGCCTTCAGCGTGTCATTAGCACCTAAAACCGACCTAAACTGTGGC